CCTTCCTAATTAGTCACCCATTACGTACTCCTTGCCCTTGCAGGGTTCACAACAACCCCAGTATCCGCAATCCAGCCATCTCCTTACCCGGAAGCTTCATCGGTCCCTCTCGCAGTTCCAGCCAGCAACCCGGAAAGGTAGGTCTGCCCAGGCTTTAGGTGCCTGAAGGACGCCCTCCCTTTGGTTCATACTTTCGGAGTGTATGCCCTTTTTCTCTGGTGCGTCTAAACCGGCAGTTCGGCTGGTGTGTCCCCCCACTAAAGGACCTGGTCCTACAGTTCTCCAATCTCAGATTCTGGTTCGAATTCAGCCTTTCATGTGATACCTTCAAAGATCGCTGCTATTCCCCAACTCGGGACTTGCCAAGCAGGTTCTAGAATCTTCTCATTCCTCAGTGTTACCAACACTATTGGGACATCCTATATATACTCGGTAGTACGCAGACGCCCGACAGTGACAACTTTTCAATACAGAGCATTGGTGTGACCCGAAGTTATAGGTTAATCTAAGCCCCAACTTAATGAAGATCCGTTACCATAAAGCAAGCCTATTTTTCAAACTTTTGTCGTCCGTGGGATTTGAACCCTAGACCTGCTACTTGGAGAGAGTAACGACTTGACCACTTCACTAAGCCGCCATACCTCTTGTACGTTATTTATTTTTTGGGTTCTTTGGGAATAGTGATTTGTTTTTTCACTTTTGGATTTTTCTATTATATCCATTATTACTCTTGTTGCTCTAAATAGAGTATCAGCTCTTCTGAAGAAATCTTCTTCATTATTCGGTATTGGGTTTGTTAATATAATTTGTTGAGCTATGTTTTTAGGCATTCTTTCTACTAAATACATGTAGCTTCCTCCAAAGAAGTTTGCAGCCTATTGCCAATTTGATAATTGTTTGAGTTTTTTATACTGATTGATTTGTTTTCTTAATCCTGAGTTGTCACTCCAGTCTAAATTTTTGTAGAAGTTAAATTTAAGAAATTCTTTTTGGTTTAATGATTGTACTTAGTCTCTTGTGAAGTTTTTGTCAAATACGTCTCTAAATCCTTTTTGTGTTGTCGTGTTTGTAACATTTGGGTTTATTCTTGTTCCTTTTGCTGTTGCAAAAGCATGCCAGTTTCCTGCTGTTTATAAGTAATTTATTGCTTTTATCAGATAATTTTTTGCATCTTTTAAATCATTTGCATTATCTAAGTTAGATCTAAAATAACAGTTTATAGTTGCTATTTCTGCATCAAATACTTCTAATGTATCCTTTCTTAGTTTTGTTCTAATTATTGCAAATACTGTTTGCATTATTTCTGTACTTTATCTATATTTATGTGCATTTGCTCCTGTTGAATCATAGTTTCTTCCTCTTAATGTGTATCCTTTTTTAGGTGTTCTGGAATATCTTCCAAATATAATTAAGTCTTCTAATCTTAATGCTTTGAACACATTTTCTAATTGATTTCTCCAATCTCTATATTTTTCAATTGATTCATCATATTCTGATATTAAGGATGTTAGCCTTTTTAAGTTTTTTGGTGGTTCAAATTCTGTTATTGCTGCTATTATTTAGGTAGTATGGTTGACAATTGTCCTTGGTAAGTACACTGAGTATGTTTTAACCAATTTTTAACGTTGAATGATTTTCTTGAAATAGTTTCTAAACTTGTTTTGACTTTTAGTCTGTCTGCCACTACTAATGAGTATACTAAGTATGTTGTTATTTCTTTATCATTTAGGTTTTCTGTGTTTTTTTCTTCTTCTTCAATATAATTGAAGACTTGTTTTCTATACTCTTTTTTCTTATGATTATAGACTCGTTTTTCTTCTTGTATAGAAGTTCTTTTGGTTGTTAAGTTTCCATTTAAATATTCGTCGATCCAATCAGATTTCATGTTCGCTATGCTGAGTGTTACGTGGATTTGTGGCACGGGATCAGGATCGGGTTCATGTAACTTAAGATCAACACGTAAATACGTAGAACAAGTATTCATGATAATAAAAAGAAACGTTTAAGTAATAAATTGTGTGTTTGAACATGGTGCTTCTTTGGTGGAAGTTAGAGTTGGGTAACGAAACCCGAAACTATATATAAAATCCCGAAACCTTTTCCGAAACTCTATACTATACTGAAAGAGTTAGAATTTTAATTTTAGACTTTAAGACATAAAGTACATGATAATTAGATTGCATTTCAGAAATTTTTTGGTTACTTTATAGTAAATGTACTTTAGTTATTAACATTCTAATTTGAAGGTTTCAGAAAGGTTTCAGGTTTCGGTGCCCAACTCTAGTGGAAGTACCTGAACGATATATCAGTCATCGTATAAAGCCAAATTCGAAGTATACACGTATAACAGTCATGTACGTGACAGTGAGTGACGTTAAGTAAATCTTGTAATATTTTGTGCATTTGATAAGTTTTATTAACAGAATTCATTTCTGAAATACTAAATAGTAATATTAGAAATTACATCTTACAAACAGTGTTGGTACTGGACTATGCAACAGGAGGAACCGTTGATATGTCACAAAATCATTACACAATTGATGAAAATTTTTTTTATATTATTTTACAATACTTTTTTGGAAGGCTTGCCTGACTTATCTTTTCTATGAATATTGAAAATGGTTAAACAAACATGAAGCTCTCACTTTGCTTTACAACATATTTTTTGAATCCCCTTGAATCCCATGGTTTTGTCTTTTTGTAAATTTCGCAATTTGATTGGTTGACTAATCCCGTAGTGATATTTTGACTGGTCAATACAATGAGTGATCTGTGTAACAGAGAATGAAAATCATATCTATATTTGGATGGTTTCTCCTGTTGGACTATGCCCAGTTTGTTGGGCTACTTGGTCCATTCAGTTTCAGTTCTAAGTAACTGAACAATCCAGTTATATTCAATTTAGTTGGTCCAATTCTGCTTAATTCAGTCCAGTTATAGTTCTGTAATAAGTATATACATATTGTTACTAATGATGGGTGACGCAACGATTTTGGCATAACGCAAGTGGTTTTGTCAATGGTTTCGTCAGCTCACATAGCGCCTCCGATGTACAGGCAGACACAACCAGCACATTTTCCTATCACGCCCGTAACACATAAGTGCAACACACCTATACAAAATGTGATTTACCAAAATCGGCAACCTCATACCAGAATGGCGACTACCATAGTATAATATCTTTTTATCTTATTCGTAGTATCAACTTAGTCATAATATTTATCAACTTATAAATAGCATTATAAATATAGTTTAAAAATAGCTTTACAATAGCTTTATATTTAATAGAATAGCCTTCTTGAATGTATAAAAGCACTAGCTTTTCACCTTTGAAACATTAGCGAAATTTCCTTAGAATTTAGCTCAGAAATTTCAATATCCTTATAGCCTATGTGGCATAACCCTATCCACTCTACAATCTTATTGCGCCCAACATGGCCAATATATCAAATAATAGACACATATCTAACAACCAAATGTATCATTAACTTGAAACACATTTGAAACCAAAGTGCTAAGCATATTATTCTCGTCATATATATTATAATACTATTAAATGCCGTTGGCAACCACTACAATATATCCAATGCATAAAAGAACAATCAAAGGCGCCCAACACATATTATAAATATCTTTAGCACCCAACATATTAAACAACAATGTTAACTGTTGGCAGCCCAAGTGTCAAACAACACAACAATGAGCCCAACATGACCATTCAGCCATAATAATAGTTGTTGAAGACCAACACATTAACATATATTAAAGAACAATCATGGCGACCCAAGTATAACAATACTTAACGAAGGTGCCCAACACACTTATAAAAACATTACCCTTATAATTAGTAAACATTATTTAAACACCTTCATGTAATAGTCAACCATTAAAATTAAATAAATAATAAACTGATCTTTAAAAGTTTAAAAAGAAATAATCGTGCAATACAATAATAATCCTTCTATAACATAAATTCCTTCGATATATAATAAACAAATTCTATATACTAAAGTAAAATCCCATAATAAACGAATAAAAGACTGCATAATATATTGAGCTTGAAAGACGGCAAGAAATATAACAAGTAAAACCTCAGAGAACTTATCCAACTCTGCAAACTAAAGTAGACCTAGCCAACCTACGACGTAAAGCAAAATATACCATTCCGCTTGCTATATAACTCAATAAATCTATAATAAAGAAGAAAAAATAAAAAACACCCAATATAAAAAGAAAAAGAAACTACCATAGCACCCAATTGGACACAGTTTTAAAATAATAATACCCAATTGGAAAATAAAAATCTACTGAAAATTGGTAAAGTACAAAATACTAACATACTAACTAAATTAACTATACTATACTATTAGGACAAAAGCAAAATGCATAGATCAGACAGAGCTTAAACAACTCTTGTTAAACCTGAATGGATAATACTGTAGTGAAGATAACCTCAAATCTACCAGATAGATACGAATAATCAAATCTGACGACAAAGTGAAACATAAAGAAATTACCTTACTAGTTGAAACTATAGGAATAGCTACCCTAAAAGACAACCGCATTGTAACCACCAGACACTGCAAGCCTGAACTACTGACGCTAGTGATAACAACAATAAATAATTACAAATCAAGATTACAAAGTATAAACAAAACTCAATGAAAACAACAATACTCCAAATGACTATTTTACTATTAATAACTCTCATACAAATCCTTAAAGCACAAGTAATCAACGTAACAATACCTGTAGTAACAGTAACGCCCACTGCAACGCTCTCAACAATAATTGTAACAAACTCTGCAACAATTACTGCTCAGCCTAACACAAATTATTTCATAGACACAGAAGCTGTAAATACACTAATTGCATTAATAATCACAATTCTAACTGCCTTAAGCACAATAACCGCAATTGTCTGCACCTGTAA